ACCTTGGATAATCTCCAGAAATCAATTTAAAGGGTAATAAAACAATTGTTGATATATTTTCCGTATAACTGTTACAAAAGTTGTTTAGATTGTCAAAAAGCCTGTGTTTTTAGGGTTATTAACAAAGTTTGTGTACTCAGACCAGTAATATTTGGGGTCACAAGTTTTTGCCATGGATATTTTATGGGTCAGAAGATAAAAAGTTTGGGAACCACTGGTTTAGATGCATTTATTGGGGAAAAAAAGATTAATAATTCATTCTTCTTAACCTGGATGTTTTATTGTTTTGTTTTTTTCTTTTGCTCTGTTTTTCAAATCCCTCCAGAACCAGGACTCTGAATTTGAAAATGTTTTGGAGATACTCTTTCATCTTGTATTTCTGGTTTTTAACTTGTCTCTATCTTTCTTCTTGCAGCACTTCCTGCCCATCTGTTGTCAGTCACGGTTCCACATCACCTTTTGAGCAAACATGCGTAGATTCAGTTCTGAGGGATCCCTCTTGGATCTGGACTTCCTACCATGGAAGACGATATCCATGAAACACCCAGAACACAGGAAAAGCCTGCACTCTGATGCGTACACACCTCACCTGGAGAGCGACGAGCTGGATGGAGGGATCCCTGGTCGGGTCCCCATCATTCAGGAGACTAAAGTGACTTCCAGTGACAAGGGGAAGACGGTTCTGAGCAGGGAGCATAGCATCAGCGTGGAGAACCTGTCTGAGCGGGGAAACCTGGCCAAGAACCACCTGGAAGTGTGCGCGATCAACGAAGGCTGCAGGGCTTACAGTGACAGCCAACTGGCTCCCAATGCTGAGGGCCCGGACGGCGTGGAGCAAGACGACCATACTCCATCTCCATCAGCTTACTTCAACTCACTTTTCAACAAACCTAACGACCGACACCATCATAGGGCCAAGCTGTCGGCTGCTAAACTGCACCTCAAGAGCCTGTTTGGACAGGTGAGATGTCTTTGTTCAGTATGAACTAGAAATATGTTCAGTTTAGTAGAAAATGCAGCGTGGGGCTACTGTGGATGAGAGAGGAGTTGTCCTTCAAGGAGGGAGCTGGCGGTTCAATTCCACCACTATTCAATCACATGGAAGTGTCCATGGACAAGACACTGAACCCCCACTGCCTCTGATGTGTCCCATCAGTGTATGAGTGTGATTTAAAGCACTGATAGTCTCTATAGAAGGATTTATCTAAACTAGACATGGGTTTTTACGATGTAAAAACAAGTGTGCATTGCCATGTGGCATGTCATTGCAGCATGGCTTTGCCTGCAGCAGTGGACTTGCAGAATG